GCAGGAGCAGGGAGGCACTTGGAATGACGCAGTGATGTGAGCTGCAAGCATTATACAATAAAAGTACAACTTACAGGTCCATAGACAAACCCACCGGAGTATGATCTGTACATACAGACAAATCCACCAGGGGCCCTGATTTGCAGAGCTTTGGGAACACCTGTCTTTTGAATAGTGGCTGTCATCCCAAAACATCCCAGTATTCAATAAGTCATTCTTTAAGCCTGACTCTTCCTGTACTGGAACTGGGTGACCTTCTCCCACACTGTGGGGCCCTGGGGTGAAAGCATTCCCTCAGCCAAACCTTTGACCTCATAGTCAAATCTTCATAAACCTAGTCCCCCACAATTATCCTTATTGACAGGACTTCCAACAAGAGAGGGACCCCTGCTAACTGACCATGTAGGAACCTCAGAAGTCAGGCACTGAGCAGGAGATACGGCACATCTGCCCTTACTGATGGTCTGGACGGCCCTAAAATCTCCAACAGCCAACTTAGGAAAATACAGCCTCCTGACCTTTGCTTTACCCTAACAAGCTATTACTATTCTACACTTACCTTCATCTTTCATCTGATACAAGGTCTTAGTCTAGGAAACTAACTGTTCGTCCCTTTACCCCTAAAAAATACAGGAAAAAAGCTTGGGTCACTAAAACAGCCCCAGAGAAAGGAAGTCTTTCCCACCTGAGTGCCAGCAGGCATTCTACCAGGGGTTGGAAGCAGCAGGCTCCAAAAATATTCCCTTTAATTCAGTTAGCAAAATGCTCATACAAATCAAGCACCATTCCCGCCCAATGGGCGACCTCGGCTGGTTACCATGGTAACCACAAGACTGTGCTCCCAGTTGCCTGGGAAGAAAGAGGAAGTGTTTAGAAAGTACAACAGCACTACTGCGTTTTTCTCTACAATTATTGATCACAAACTTCTAGCTTAACTGCTCACACTTAAGAAATGTAGTTTAGTATACAGACTTTTTTCTCTTTTTTCTCTTTTTAGAATTCTGTACTGATTCTATAGCCTCATTCTTAACTAAACCTTCTGGCATCCACAGGGGAGTTTCACAGCCATACCCACTCTGAGACAGGAGTAAGACAACTGGTGCCTACTTTGTCAGTCTTCACCCATCTTCTTAGTCCTAAGACACACATGCTTGGTACCATTGCTATCGTCTATGAACTGCTAACTATATGTAAATATATATACTGGAAACCTTGTAGAATTGGGAGGAACATTGAAAGGGAACAGCAAGGAACAGCAAAAGAGATACATCAAGAGAGATCATTGAAAGGACATCAAAAGAGCCCCGGAGAGAATGCTAGGGAGAACATAGGAAGAAAAAATGGGGCATGACGAAAAGATTTATGTGAGCTAATTTATTTCGTTTATCCTCAGACCTTTTTGCCTGCTATAGCCGACCTTCTGAATCTGGAGTTTAGGGAGCTGGCACCCAACATAAACATTGATAATGCAGGAGCAGGGAGATACCTGGGATGGTATGGGAGCAGGGAGGTACTTGGAACAGTGCCTTTCAAGTTTCATAAGACAACAACTGCCAATACAGACTACTATATCCAGCAAAGCTATCAGTCATAATTGGAAGAAAACTCTCCATTAAAAAAATAGGCTGAAGAAATTTATAACCACTAATCCAGCTCTACTGAAGAGACTTGAAAAAAAAATTACTGAAGAGAAAGACAAACACATCCAGAGAAGACTGAACTCTTGAATAACAGTTAAGCAAAAGAGGGACAGAAAACACCAAATAATACAAAGTCAAGATAACAGGAAATTCTACATACTTTTCCATGAGGCTAATATTCATGGTTTCATTTTTGCAATCAAACGACAGCAGTCTGGGCCTGAGAAGATGGGGCACTATGGATAGAAGCAAGCCACTCCTGCTGGGTCTGTGAAGGACTCAGCCTGCCCCATATTTCTCAATGTTCTCTGTGCTCTCATATGAAATGAGAAGGGAAGATCTGCTGCTCGCCCCCCTCCCCTGAGTCCCACCATGCTCTCCCCTCCATCCTGGACTGAATCCTCTAAGCAATAGCCGAGGTTAACCTTGCTTTCCTGTCACCTACTACACTCACAACAATGCAACGTAGCTAATGTACTCAGTAAGCTGTAGTTAGAGCCTCCGCCGTGGCAGCAGTCTTTCAGTAACCTGGATTCCATGGCATACATCCTACTCTTCCTGAGCCACTGCATTTACTTCCTCATTCCCTGCCAAAAGTTCTCATCCGCGGAATCAGTCCTTCCAGTCATGTGGGTAAAGGAAGGCTAGTGTGGGTCTAGATGAACTTGGTTCCCCAAAATACTTTATAGTTTCATGGCCTCGAACAAATTTTTGGTTTTCCTACTGTGGTTCATATAGCCATATTTATCTCTCTTTCTTTGCCCTAAGAAAACCATCCTTATCCTGGAAGATGTATTTCAAATAGTACCACTCCTACAGTAAGACATTCTTGATTACCCAGTAAAAAATGACCTCTTTCCTTGTGACTTGGCCAGCGTCAGTTATATCTGAGAGTGTATGGCACATGCCAGGAGTTTCCTGGATGCCCTTTTGTCCCCCTGAGACAAGTCCTTAGCATCTATAGTCACATATCACTATGCATCTTAGCTTCTTCCCTATAAGCTAAACTCAAGGGTTTTCTAGAGAATAGTGCTCACATGTGTGTTTCCTAATTAAAGGGAGTCACATGTACTCTCTAGGTGTCCACCAGTAATAGCAGTGATACCCACACCATACTTTATCATCAGAAGTGATGAGCCTTGAACTGGATGGACCTAAATGAAGTAAGAGCAGTTAACCTCATTAGTTGATCTTTTTGAAAAATTTTATTTTTAATAATGTCTGTTCGTGTACACATGTATATGCACCTGCTAGCACACAACTCATTATTTTTCTGTACTTAAAAATACATGTGCTCCTTAATAAATGGGACCTCATGAAATTGAAAAGTTTCTGTAAGGTAAAGGATGCCATCAATAGAATAAAACAGCATCCTACAGAATGGGAAATGATCTTCGCCAATTCCACATCCCCACATCTTACAGAGGGCTAATTTCTAAAATATATAATGAACTCAAGAAACTAGATATCACAAACCAAATAATCCAGTTTAAAAATTTTAAACAGAGAATTCTCAACTGAAGAATCTCAAATGGCTGAGAAACAAGGAGATGTTCACCATCCTTATCCATCAGGGAAATGCAAACCAAAACGACCCTGAGATTCTACCTTATACCTGTCAGAATGGCTAAGATCAAAATCACAAGTGACAATTCATGCTGGAGGAGATGTGGAGCAAGAGGAATTCTCCACTGCTGGTGGCAGTGTGAACTTTTACAGTCACTTTGGAAGTTTATGTGGTGGTTTCTCAGAACACCGGGAATCAAGATTGCCACAAGACCTAACTATAGCACTCATGGGCATACCCAAAAGATGCTCAGTCCCACCACAAGGACAGTTGCTCAGCTTGTTCACAACAGCTTTCTTTGTAACAACCAGAAACTGGGAAGAACCTAGATGTCCCTCAACTGGGGAATAGATAAAGAAAATGTGGTGCATATACACAATGGGGTATTATCAGCTGTTTAAAAACAAGGACATCAGGAAATTTGAAAACAAATGGATGGAACTAGAAAAAAAATCATCCTGAGTGTGGAATTCCAGACCAAGAAAGACAAACATGGTATGTATTCATAAGTGGATAACTTTGCTACAATCCACAGACCCAGAAAGGCTAGGTAACAAGGAATATTAGAGGGGGAACGTGATCTTCCTACGAAGGGTAAATAGAAGAGACTTTGTGAGTGCATCGAGGGCGGGTGGGGATGGGAACATGAGCCATCAGGCTGGTGGTGGGGAGAGTACTGAAAGAGACTACTTACTGAATGGGAGGTGTGTTACAGGGTTAGGTTTAAAAAAACCCAAAACCAAAACAACAACAACAACAACAAAGAACAGCCTGACACAAAGATAACTCCTAGGACTCTACAAGAATGACCCTAGCTAAGACTCCTAGCAATAGCAGGTACATGACCTTAACTGTCTATCTCCTGTGACCAGGAAAAACTTCAAGTGGAGCGAGTGGGAAATGAAGCCAGTCACATAACTTTTGATCTATAGTCTGTCCTGCCTATGGGATGTGCTGGGGTAAGGGTGGCCCAGAGACAGAGAGAGTAGCCAACCTGCTGTGGGAGCTCCCTCTGCTCCTTCAGCCAATAGCCTTTGAGATACCAGCCCACTTGGGTGTGGTCTCTTTTGACTTAAAAAGCAGCAGTAGCCCTGCTCTCGCTCTCTTGCTTCCAGGCTCCAGCTTCCGGATGCTAGACTCTGTTACTGGTTGTGCCGAGGGCTGTTGTCTAGGAGAGTGATCTGTAAGTTTTTCCCCTTAAATAAATAACCCTTTTATTTATCATAATTCTGAACTGGTGTGGGGTTGTTTTGTGACTTACACCTTCATCTGGTGCCCGATATTTGGTTTTAGAACCCCCTGGCTCAGCTGCCTGCCGCCAGATTGGACTGCGCTGAGCTTGGCATGAGCCCTCTCTCAGCCAGCTGCGGCCTGTAAGTGGAGCCAGCAAATCAATGTAGAATCTCACACAGTGGCTTTTCTTGCTATGGATCAGCTGCGATTCTAGACCATCTAGATCTGTCATGTATTGTGGATACTCATGGGAGACCTGCCCATTCCTAAACAGAAATGTCTGGAGGAGTGGGTTGGGGAGTGGAACAGAGGGAAGGTGAGGGTAACTAGGAGGAGAGGAGGGAGGGGAAACTGCAGCCAGGTTGTAAAATTAATTAAGTTTAAAAAATACATATGCTTTTATAAGCAAAACCTTATAGCAATGCACTAGAGACTAGAACTTTTCTCATTAAAAGTTACAAAGAAAAAAACCTCGACAATTCAATTAGGATCACACACATTTGTATTAGAAAAAAACTGCAAATTAGTATGCAATCAATAGCATAGCTCACCAAATTTTATTGAGAACATATCGCTCAATACACAGTCCCGACTGGTCCAGCCACAACCCATCTGACTTCATGAGTGGCCTTAGATGAGATGGGCTTTGTTTAAATTCTCTAAAATAGATTCAGGTGCCCCACTGTCCGTGCAGTCCTCTGCACACAAACTTCATGGGGGACTTTAGCAGTGGCCTCGGGGGGAATATTTCTCCTCTACTGAGCATGCGTGGAGTAGAGAGCTAGAGAAGCAGAAGTGCCTGAAGGGCAAAGTTGTCCCCCTTACAATTTCATGTCAAACTGATCTCCTCGAGTTCCGTTTTCAGGTTACTTTTTCTTTAAAGGGGTTTACGAAATAATCTCTCGGCAGATGCTGCCGCTAAAGGTCTGGCTCCCACAAAACTCGAAGGCATTTCTCGAGTTAAAATAAAGTTTACTCTTCTTAAATTACATGAAAAGTAAACCACTTGAAACTGCTGAACATCTTGGAATTTTCTATTATTAGGCCACGTCTGAATAAAAGGCTTAGTTTCTGTGAACAAATGGATAAATGCAGTAGGAACTGTGAACCCACCCCATCCCCCCCCTCTCACGCCCTGGCTCAGCAGCTGGTAATAGCTGGTTGAGCTGAGCATAGGCATGAAGGACAGCGCTCGGGCCAAGGCACCACAGACTCCAGCTCCCTCCTCAGGCTATTGTCCTGGTGGAAAAGGAAACGGAGAAACAGTGATTGGCCAAGGCACTAACATCACACCTCTTGGGCCCTTAGAACTCACAGTCAACAAGACTGTCATTCCTTTCCTTTTTGAGAGCTGTGTCCATGACTCTGGCATTCTGGGAGCTCCCAATTTTAAACACAGCCCTTCAGTTAGTTCTATGCTTAACTGTTAGTGAGAAAGCAGAGAGAATGGAAACAAGATGAGGAACCAATCAGCATACTTAGGCAAGATAAACTATAAATGAATATATTCCTAATGCTGTGACTTATCAGATTCAATGTACTTACCCAAACATAAGGTATTTTGTAGATGGAATTGTTGTGTGATATTTTATGTGTGAGTTTTTGCCTGCATGTAACATGTCTGCACACCATATGCATGCAGTGCCCAAATAGTCCAGAAGACTGAGATTGGGGATGCTTGTGAATCTCCATGTGGGTGCTGGGAATTGACCTCTGGAAAGCAGCCAGAGCCCCTAACCATTGAGCCATCTCTCTAGTAACAGATTATTGTTTTAAATTTTTTTTGGTGTGTGTATGTGTGTGTGCACACATACAAGTGTGAGTACAAGCCTGCATGCCAGCGAGTGTGTGTGTGTGTCCACGTACATACGAATGTCAACATGAGTCTGTGTGCCAGCATGTGTGTGTCTGCATGTGTGTGCATGCGCATGTGTGTGTAACATGTGCAGAGGTTGGAGAACAATTTTCAGGCGTCTTTCCTTCCACCATGTGGGTTCCAGGGATTGAATTCAGGTTTTCAGGCTCAGTAGCAAATGTTTTTACCTATGGAGCCATCTCACTGGCTTGGAACTTTGATTTGTCAGGAATGTATCTGTGTACTAATCAGCCACTGCATCTCTGTGTTGAGTGCAGTGTTTGATAGATTGGGGCAGGCACAACTCTGAAAACTGAATGACTGACCCAAGACCCTAACTGTAGGGCTGGAGGAAGCTCAGATCAGAAAGGAAGTAAAAAGCATCAGGTTTTTCAGGACTTAATTCACAAAAACTGAACAATGTCAATGTCCGTACTTACCCGAGGGGTGCAGTCATAAAGCCAGGCTTTGGCTATCCTTATAAAGGCTGAGCTGAGTTAAACCTGAAAAAAAAATTGGTCCATCGCTTATTACATTCATATTAGGCATGTTAAAAACAAGAACATATATCTACATATGTATCACAGGCTTAGTCTGTAGATTGTTACATGACAATGCTGGAGAGGGTTTGTGTCAACCCAATTACTCTCTTTTATCAACATAAAAGATTCATTAATCTTTCCACTTCAGTCTATTTTAGGAATTGTCTCTGTCAGTACCACTAGCCCATACTTCTATGGCACTCACCACCCCTCAAGTCCTTAACTCCAAGGCTAGAGGTTGAGGGTGTCCTTGGCAAATCTCCAGGAAAAGAGATGATGCTATTATTGAGATGAACTCCTGGCAGGGGGGCGCTCACTGGATACCTGTGTGATCTTGACTGAGTTCCCTAACCTCTTGTAGGACTACTCAACACTGAGCACTCAGCCCAGAGCAGTGAGCCCAGCCATCACTGGGTGTGGGCTAAGAGCAGTATGCTTATCTGCCATTGGCAAGCCAGGGGACAGCCTTTTTCTGCCTTAGAAAGAAAAGAGATTAAAACCGAAAGCTTAAGGCTGTACAAGTGGAAGAATGTCCCTAAGACATTCTAAATTCCCCCAAAGGTCTAAATCAAAGGGAGATAGATGGAAACAATAATTACTATCCAACAATGCTAACTGAAGAGTGGGTTGCTTAAATTGGGAGTTGGGGATAATTGAAATAAACGAGCCCTTCCTGTTTTCGAAGACTTCTCTGAGACGTAAGGCAGAGCTGCTCTCAAACTGTGGGTTGAGGAGCCCACTGGGAAGTCAAAACTCTGAGGTAACATTCACACGTTATTTGTTTCTCCCATTATTGCAACTGCACCACCAGGCCGTGGTATTCCCTAGCAGTTACAGGGCTAAGGCAGGTACAAAATGGGGAGAGACAGTGGTGTGGCCCCTACCAGCTGTCCACGCTCCTGCAAACAAGCCCTTACCCATGTTCCTGTACAAAGGCTACAGGAAGCTAGTTCCTGAGAAGGAGGGGTCCAGTAGGCACAGAGGGTGGACAAGAGAAAGTGACAGGAGGAAATCTGAGCTAAGTGCGTTCTGTATGTACGTGAAAATGTCACGTTGGGGCCACAAGATGGTCCAGTGGGTAAGGATGCTCGCTATTCAAGCCTGACAACCTGAGTTTGAGATAAATAATCCCACAAAATTGTCGCCTAACCCCTAAATGTGTGTGCTGACATGCAAGCTACATCCTTCATCATAATACACACATAATAAATAAAAATATTGCATTTTTGAAATGCCATAATGAGCCAGGTGTGATGGTTTATGTTTTTAATCCCAGCACCCAGGAAACAGAGTTGGAGGATCTCTGTGATTTTCAGGCCAGCTTGGAATACATAGTGAGTTCTAAGACCACCAGGGCTCTATATTGAAACCCTAACAAACAAATCTCTAACAAACAGCAACAAAAAGATATTTCTAGAAAGACTAGTTTTCAAGGTACCTCAGCTCTTGCTGATCACAGAATGACTGCAAGTCAGTTGACTGTTTCTCCCAGAACTCCTAAAATGAAATGAAGATTTTTGACTAAACACTTGGTGCTTCTTTTTTCCTAGAAAATGTTCTCTTTCTTCCCAGAGACAGGACAAACAAGGAACTTGCCAGAGCATCCTTTTCGAGGTGCTTGAGACCCTGAAGATTCTCCTCCAAGTTGCTCAGCTCCTGAAGAACCAAACTGTGAAACCTCTCCAGCTTGTTCAATCTGCCAAACGTGAAAACAACAGCCTTCAGTGGGACCAATTGGGTGTGACAGAATATTCCCACGAGAACACATTCACCACATAGTCTTGCCTTAAAAACATATTGGCACCTTTCTTCTCTTCCCACCTTTCCATGTTCAGTGATCCCTGATCTCAGAGACTCAGTGAACTCTCCCGAGCCCCTGGCAGCGCCCAGAGGGAGCCACGACGTCATCACAGTATAGGAGAGATGGTCCCAGGAAAGGAAACCGAATGCTGTCCCTCCTGCTACTGTCTGCTTGCTTTCCTGTCTGGCTTTGCGCTGCTGTGAGAGCCGTGGTCAGGTAGGTTCCAGCACCCACTTCCCAACAGTCACCATTCTGTGACTAACCACCATTTAAATGGCTCATCTGTTGGCATGCTGTCTCTTTTCCTTTAGGCCCAATGCTCCATATAAACAGATCTCCTGCAGCTTTCTGCTTATTTGGATGTAGAATATTAAAAATCCTTGTTCCAGGGGAACATTACTAGGAAGTGATGGAGGTAGGGTCTACTGGGAGGTATAATGTCATTATGAACATCCTAAAAGGTGTCTCTGAGGTGTGAGACTTTTATTTTTATTTCCTAACTGTCAGTTGAACAGTTTTCTCTCCTACCCATTCTTGCCATGATACCTTCCTTCCCCTAACACAGGACCCAAGAAACAGGGCCAGTTCATCACAGATTCCATCCTCCAAAACCATGAGTCAAAATATGTGCACACATGTACACATGGGGCCTAGTTTTATTGCAACAGGGTCTCACTGCACAATCTCAGCCTGATCTAAAACTCATTGCATATGCCAGACTGACCCAAAACCATGGCAATTCTCCTGCCTCAGCCTCCAAAGTGCTGAAATTGCAGGCATGGCTCACCATGCCTGGCTACCTCGGGTATCTGTTAGTAATCAGAAAGTTACCTCAGAGGCCTGCACAGTTGACCCTCACAGCTGGCCCTCACACACTAAGCATGGAGTGAGCACCTGGCATTAGTGTTCAGTGTTTGTTAGCTGAGTGGATATGTAGCTGAGAGTAGGGCCTTTAAAATACTACAGGAACTTCACAAATCCAGAGTCCTCCATGACTTTGCCTGGTCATTGCATGTGTATGAGAACTTGAAAAAAAATTGTAAATTCTCACTCAAATAATGCATTTTAATCCCAAGAATGTTTCTATTTCAGCTAAGCAAATCTCTCCTCCTCTTCCCTCATCTCAAGCATTCTCTCCAGCATGGAACAATCTCTAAATTCTTCTTCTCCACGCCACTCAAATCTTTGCTCCCAGATCTCACTCAAAAAGAGCTTCCATGGCTGTTTTTCTAAACAAATTCTAATTACACAGAAACCCTTCTTCACCTCCCTGAAATGCAGGCATGTTGGCACTCCCTACTGACTTAGTCATAAGGGTGTTATATGTATTATATCCTCTTATCACAGCATAACATAAAACTTACCCTTCTAATCATGTTTAAGAGGGCAATTCAAAGTGCTAGGCTTTCTTCATGGTACTCTGCCGGCCTCACCATTACACATTTACAAAGTTTTCTTGTCATGAGAAACATAAAAATCTGCCCTAATTAAACAATAGCAGTCTCAGCCTCTCTGGTGTCTTCTGTCTCTAGAATTTCTTAGTTCAGTAGGTACCTGTCATTTAAGCAGAACCATGCAGTATTCACCCTCTAGGACCTGGCATCTTTCTCTGAGGATAATTTTTTCAAGGTTTATTCATGTTTAGCATGTGCATTGGTGTGTGTCACATGTACAATAATAATCCAAGAAAAGGAGGCTATCCTTTGGAGAGAGGGATAACACAGAGGGAGGTTATTAGAGAGAGGCTCAGGAAAGGGAAGGGAGAGAGTGGTATGACCAACCATATCTTAACTAAAAACATGAGTTTTTTCCTTTGGTTGGGTGACAGTCAGTTGGAGGGACATACCACACTTCAGTCTGTTTTAGCATGGCTCCCCGGGCCTGCACTGTCTTCACAAGTAGACTACTATGTTTAAAGATGCCTGCTTTAGTACTGGTCGCTGGTAGATCATGAGGAGGCTGGAGGAGAATGCTGAGTTCAGCTCTCTTCTCACCTCCCCCTCACACTGTACTTCCTTAGCCCCTCCCCCACACACATAACGGTCCCAAGATAAATGCTGCTTCACTCCCATGACTCTGCTTTTCAATCCAGTATTTACCTGCGTGTGTATATCTGGTTCCAAAGTGTGACGAGGCAGCCTGGCACTTCCTTCGCCTTCTCTGAAGAAAGTGGAATTTCTCTCTGCTTGAGCTAAAGCCATAACACACAAAAGAACAGACTAATGGCATTTGGGTAAACATGGTACATAAGTTGAGTGTTTGCTGTATTAGCAAGGCACTGGCAGCACACAGTGATGCTCGAAAGAAACATTCCTACCAAGAGACTTCAATATGACATCATCCTGTGTACACTCCAGGCATTTCCATGGGTTTGGTATGATAAAGAACTCGAGAAACTAGAAAACCTTATAATCATACTATTGATACAATACTGTATTATATATGTGTATATATAAATATATATATACTCACACTATTGATACAATGCATTCATTCTTTATATGTACTATATTCATACTATTGATAAAAAACACTGTATCCGTACTACTGATACAAGACATATAATGTGCCCATTATACATTGGCAGGATTCTGGAATTCTAGAGGTCTCCTAAATTATTAGAGAGATATTGGCTGGGGATGATATTGTTCTCAAATGTGCTGATCTAGACATCATTGGGGACTTTCACATAGGATAAGGTCAGAGTAACCTGAAATTGCTGTGATACGCATCACACAGACAAGGCCGAGGTGGCTTTTACACCCAGGGCCTCAAAGATCTGCTGTTACTAAACAGACACCCTCCCACATCCCCCTCCCACTGTGTCTTAGAGTCTGCTCTCCCACACACGGTCCCCTCCTTAATTTGTCCCTGTGGCCAAATCACTGCCTTCTGGGAATGCCACCAGTGAAACCATGCCAAGAACATTTGGTCCCACTGGAGAGAATGGACAGGGAATAGTCTTATCAATACAAATTACAGTGCAGAATAGTGATAAAAATCAGTGACCACAGCCAAGATGAATGCCCTTGACTCCCACCCAGGAAACCTTCATACGTGAAGGAGATTGTACAGAAGAACAAAAGGAATGTGGCTTGTTAAATTCAGAGTGAACTGAGTTTCTTTCTATTGCCTTTTTGCCCAGCTTTATTGAGCAATACAAATGACAAATTGAAAACATAAAACTGGAGAGATCGCTCAGTCCGTTTATACCTGCTGACCGGTACCTGCCCATCCCCCCTCTCCCCAGTCTCCCCAGTTCCTGTTAGCCACCTTCCACTCTTCCACTACTTGGCCTTCTCATTCAAGTTTTGTACATATTACATATATTGCTGAGATCATACAGTGTTTTTCTGGTTCGCTTTCTACTTCCTGATTTAGTGAACAGATACCTCAAATTTTCTTTTCATATCTGTAGTGAAGTTTTCAAGGGCTGTTTTCAAAGCATAGCTGTTTGCATTGTCTGGTATATCTTCTTGGGATGGAGTAGAAATACCTGATAAACAAAATAAAATATTACAGATAACAAAAAATGTTCAGGTAGACATCCTTGGTCTATCTGCTGGGCCAGAGGATGGACCACTTTTTCAGAAGCACAAATCTAAACCATACACACTCCCAGCTAGCTATTTGGATCTGATTCTGGAACATGGCTGACCCTGACCAGGACCACACTAGCTAGCTCATACTGAATGCGTCAGACAAGCACTTCATGCTACCTCCCACCAAGTTCCACCCTCTTTCAAGTGTTCATTCCATCCTAACCTTCTCAGCACCTTAAATCAGCTCAGTTGATACTGTATCTGTGAACAAGGCTTGGATATTACAGGAAGTTGCAAGAAATACACAGCAGGGGGGACAGTGAAATGACTCAGTGGGGGGGGGGGACACTTGTCACCATGCCTGATGCAGAGTTCAATCCTTGGGTCCCATATGGTGTAAGGAGAAAACTGGCACCCGAAAGTTGTCCTCTGACCCCCACACGTGCACTAGAGCATGTGTAGGTATGTCCATAAATAACAGAGGCTAGAGCAGGTTACGCCAACGGGGGCAGCCCAACAGAGTCTCTGGGTGCCAGACTTACCTACACATATAAGAGATCTCTGTTAAGGATTTGCATTCCCCAACTCATTCATTCCTTACAAAAATCATAGTAGGTGCTTCTAGGATTCACACGGAGCATGGACACCACATGACTTCTGCAAGTCCACGCCAGCGGCTCCAGGAATAGAATGCAGGTTATCTCAAATCATAACCCTATGCCTCTGAGCTTCCCAATCAATTCATTTTTTTTTTTGGAGCCCTTCATTTCAATACAAAGTACTATTTATCCCGAAAGCTGGCCAAGATCACATACACATGCCAGGTCACTCTCTTTGATTATAAACTATGTATGCACACAAATGTAATAACTATCGACTAAACAGAAGTCTCTAATATTAGTCCCTGCAGATCGTAGAGAGGAGCTATGGTGCAGACCTCAAAATGCTAGAATGGGAGGTGCTTGCTGTTATCTACAATTTGTGGGACAATTTGTTCATCTCAGAAAGAACAAAATGCTTAGCACGCAGGCTGCAGTAGCCCTGGTGATCTTAGAATGTAGCTTTCGTAATTCACATTGGTACATTAAGAACAGACACATCAATCACCCCTCCCTTAGCTGCTGGCTGGGTGCAGGGAGTCACCTGTCACAGCGGGGGATCCTGGAGCATCTTCGAATCTTGATTGCTTCGGGGCAGCAACACTTCCATCTGGCATCTCTAAACATAAACAGCACTGCGATGAAACTCTTGGGTGCATGTTTCTCTTGTTTCAAATGCATCTTGTCCTCTTTTCTTCTAGGAATTCACGTATGCGCCCACTGTATCTGCACTGCTCTATGCTGATTTGGGGTTTTCTGCAACCTTCCTCCCAACCAACTCTTCTTGCATCGCCCAGTCTGCCCCCTCTTATACTTATAGCCTCTACAGACACACTCACACATACATAAGAACATCCTACAGAGTTCAATTAGCACTGCGTTTATAGTCATGCATTTAGGGCTGACTCCTTGGGATTAAGATCTTATCCCTCAAAGAAAAAAAATTATTTCTCTCTCCCTCAGCAGCCACTGGGGTCCAGTATCTCTTCACCTAGGGTGGGCCTTGTGAGGTTTTCCTGCATCTATGATGGTGTGTTAACTGGTATGGTCTTTGCAGGTCTTTGTGCGGGCAGCCATGTTACCGCAAGTTCATGGGTAGCAACCCTGTCCTGTGCAGAAGAAACTGTTACACAGCGTTAGTCCCAGGCCTCGAGCTCTCCCACACATTCCCACCTCCGCTTGTGGGATGTCCCTGAGTCTTAGGTGTAGGAGTTGTGTTGTGGCTTTCCCATTTGAGGGTGGGTACCCCTGTAGTCATTTATTTATTGCACTATCGCTGGTCGTGAACCTCTCTTTGCTAATTAATATCTAACACAATACAGCACAAATGAGTCTCATTTCCTCCTCGTTACTAATTGTTTATGAGGAGGACCAAGCACCGCCAACGCATCAAAGCACTGGTGTCTACTGTTGCCTGAAGGAGGACTTGGTCACAGACATCCCTCTGATGAGCTCAGACACATTTAGGAATTCTCTGCTTCACAAGGTACAGACAGACTCACCAAACATAGTGTTCTCAATGAAGCCAGAAGAGCGGACAGCAAAACTATTTCCAGACGCTGGTAGCTGTGGCTTCATTTGTGAATCCTCTGTTCCATCCCTCGACCTCTGTGTTTTGTGTCAGTACCATAATGTTTCTGTTACTGTGTGGAATTATTTGAAGTTGGGTACGGTGGTACCTTCAGTTTTTCTCCCTCTGTTTGGGATGCTTTGGTGATTTAGGTCTTTTGTGCATCCTTATAAACTTTAAGGTCACACACACACACACACTTCTATGGAGAATATCACCCTAAAGTGTGATAGAGTCTGCACTGAATCTGTTGATCGCCTTTAGTACCTCTTCAACAATTGGTGCTGGGGGATAGGCACACATACGAGGGTAAAACTAGATCCTTAAACTCTCACTTTCTACAAAAGTCAACTTGAATTGTATGAAAGATGTCACTATAAGATCCGAAACTCTAAAACTATGGGATAAAAAAACAGGGAAAGCACTTTGAGATCTAGGTACAGGCAAGGACTTTCTAAAAGGACTCCAGTTGCTTACAAAATCACTGGAAGAATTAAAAAAATGAAATTGCACAAAATCTGAAAGATTTTGCACAGCAAAGGGGACAATTAAAGAATGAAGAGACCTTAGAATGAGAGGATGTCTTTCCCAGCTATGTATCCAACAGGGGGCAAGTATTTAGAAAGAAAATAAAGAACCCCAAACACATACAAATAATACAGTCGATAAATTAACAGAGACATTGGGCAGATGGTTTTCAAAAAATTAAGCATAAATGGTCAGTAAACATATTTTAAAATCACATGATAGTTCTAGTCACCAGAGAAATGCAAATAAAAAACACTGAAATTCTATCTTACGTCAGTCATTAAGTGAACAACAGATACTATAAGGATGGGGTGGTGTTATTGATCAGTGTTGTTGGGAATATATTTAGTGCAACCACTGTGGGCACCAGTATGAAGGTCCTCAAAACACTAAGAACAGAACTACCATACAGCACAGCTACACCATTCCTGGGCCTATATCCAATGGACTCTAAGTCTGAATACTACTGAGACACCGGGTCATCCATTTGAGGTGTCATTCAAAACAGCCAAGTTATAGTATGAGCCTACGTGTTCATCAGCAGGTGAACTAACTAAAGGAAACATGGTAGACCCCACACAACTCTCAGCCCATCTAAAATTGTGCAGGTCTGAGTGACTTTGCCAGACCACCTCTCCTCTCTGCTCCAGCCCATTGGGAACCACACAGCAGGGAAAGTTTGCCAGGCAAGTTCCCCAGACCTCCACATAGGACCATCTGGAGTTGTACAGGAAGGAAGCAGCAGGGTGAGTCCATCGGATACCTACTCCCAGGCTGAGCATTAGTAGCCCCCAATGTCATAACAGGCAGGCATGTCCCCGCTACTCACCAGGCAGAGCCACCACACACATAGTCTACCAGTAAGTCAGCCCAAGGTCTGGTGCATTATACCACAGCCTTTCTATGCTCAGACCAAGCTTGGAGCCACATTCTCTTGCTTTTTTGTTACCAGTGAACTAGAATCAACCCAATCTCCCTGTCAAAACTCAAGGCAAAACACCCGAAGGATTGACTTAAAAACTCTTCAGACCAGATCTGAAGGCAACCAGTCTTGGACAATAGCCAAAACTTGCACTCAATAGAGGCTGGTCAGATGTACAACCAGTCGAATAAATCCACATGCCCAGGTCACATCACAAAACACAAACTATGAGAGGTGAGGACATGTGGAATCCCCCTCTATATGCTGTGAATATGTTTTATTGACATTGGTTAATAAAGAAGCTGCTTTGGCCTATGGCCGGGCAGAATATAGGTAGGTGGAAAAACTAAACTGAATGCAGGGAGAAAGAAAGTTGAGTCAGAGAGACACCATGTAGCTGCCGAAGGAGAAAGATGTCAGAACCTTACCTGTAAGCCACAACCTTGTGGTGATATGCAGATTAATGGAAATGGGTTAATTTAAGATGTAAGAGCTATTTAGAAATACTCCTGAGCCACCAGTCAAACAGGGCTGTAATTAATATAGTTTCTGTGTGATTGTTCGGGTCTGGCTGACCAGAAAATGAAAGCACAGTCTTCATTCACACTCCCCAGACCCAAGAACTATAGACATCTTTGCTAAGGAGAATTACCTAGATGAACCCAATGACATGAAACTTAAACAAACAAACAAACAAACAACAACATGATCAAAGAATTCAAGGAGTTTAAAGAGGATAAGAACGTGCAAATGAACTTAAACGGGAGAGGAGAAAACTCCTGCTTGAAACCCAAGAAAATACAAGCATGCTGAATGAAATGATAAAGACAAGTAAGAAATCAAAAAGTGGCTACAATAAAAAGATAGAAATACTGAAGAGAATCCAAGATGACATGAAGCTGGAATTGAAAAGCCCAATTACCCAATCAGAAATTATCAAGCAGAAGAGAAAATGTTGGGACCTGAAGGTAAAGTAGAAAAATTAGATCATGAAATCAAAGAATAACATCCCCTTGTAAAACACATATGAAAGGAACACATGCAAGACGATTTTTATCTGGTGCAATCTGAAAAATGGCCCAGACTAATTTCACGTTTTTTTCTGTTAAAAAAAATGAATTACTCAACTACCTCTGTGTTCTGAATTTTCCAGCTTGTGTTTGAAGCTGTTTTCCATGAACAATTCTTGGCTCACAATCTAAAACACAAAATACAGACATCTGTAATTGGAACACATACATAATTGTAAAATAAGAAAGTGGTACTGTAGTGTCATGTCAACACAATAAACAATTCCTTTAGGGTTAATTCTAGAAAACCAAAAGAATAAACTGTACCTGAGGTACATTTTCTTCAACTTCTGGGTGCTCTAAGGAAGAGAAACTGCCCGATGGATGAGGACTTCCAAGTTCTAAATATTAGAGAAAACAATTCCAAGTTCAGTAAATAGAATAAGAAATGAAGACATGTAGCATTCTGTGACTACTGTATCAGATCTCATCATTGAAAGATGAGGAACAGTCCTAAACACAAAAGCTTTGTGTCTCTCGGGGCATGGATACTCATGGGGCTTGCATGCCCCTACATAAATAAAATGAATAGTCGGTTTGACCAGCTGCCTCAGTGACTGCCCATCTGCCCCTAAGAACATGGACAATCATTCTGTCCAACCTTGCTTCTCTCTCTTTTTAGTTGCCTCTTTTATTTGGTTACTATTTCCTGTGTGTGGTGACTTGATATGCCCAGACATCATTTACTGATTACTACATCATTAATTACTACAAATTAACTTAACACATCATTTGTCACCTACAGAAATTGTTCATCTGAAGATGTAATAAGATTTGCATGCTTTGACATCTCCAATTCTCCACCCACATGGTAAACATCATTTTATTTTCTGCTTCTTAGGGTTTTGAAATTTTTAGATTCCACACATGGGTAAGGGTAGACATCCAGTTTTCCTCATAACACTCATTAAACACTTTTTCTTTCCCTTTTCTTTCCCTATCATTTAGCTTAGCATTCTTGGCAAAGATTAGCTGACCATATGTATGGTGTTTGTATTTGATCCAACTGGCCTGTATCTTTTTGCATCAACTTTACTTTCCATATTCTCTTCCTTCCCAAGATTGCTGTGGCAGTTTGAGATTTTCCAGGGTCTCATAC